AAGGAAAAATCAATGATGAGGGGAACTGTGCAATAGAACAAAGTGTAGGCACAGTATTTGGCACTGTGACCCATGCTATCATGCCTGCCATCACCAGCTTGGCCATCATTTTCTCTTGGTATTTCTTCCAGTACAAATGCACAGTGGGAAAGAGTTTGTTCTAAAGAAATAGTTAAAAATAATGTGTCATGCTATGAGGTGCGGAATTGGACATTATTCTGAACTTATTATATAACATGCTAAATTCAAAATACATATGGCATATTTTACATACACAGTGATAATTTTCAAAAACTTGTGCTAAACTTATAAAGGCCATTCTAAACATCATCATATACATTCAGAACTTTTTGCATCGTGTTGTCAAATTATATAACTTATTACTATAAACTTTTAAATAACATGCCAAAATTTTTTATAACATGCCAAACTTTAATTTTGCCGCGACCCATTTTACATCGTATTCCAAATTTTTATGAGACATGCTAAACTTTTATGATATGCTGAAAGCGCTTTTATATCGTGTTGCATAATGCATTGCGGTCGCGTGCCTGCACAACCCGACAAATCATAGCCTGTGCCTGAGCTGAAAATCGGCAAATAAGTGGAAACCTTCGAACTGCACTTTGCAAATTGTAATATTGCTCACGAAGCTAGAAACTTATTGGACAATTTGGATGATCGAAATAGTTTGGCAATCTAGAGGCAGTTGATGCAATCAACATCAACAACAACGCAACCTGCTCCAGAAGGCGACAGAGAAAGAAGTGTGACGGTCGTAGGCCCATATTAAACAGGGGCGGATCTAGAAATTTTCGTACGTTAGTCAAATTTTTTTCTTGCTGACATCCGGGGGGGGCTTTTACTTTCTGTCTGTGGGGGTTGTAGCATTATAAGTTATTCGTTGTTCGCACGACAGCCGCGACGCGATTGTGTTGTCAGGATATTGTAGTGTCGCGCAATTGTCTGGAATTTTTGTTTTACGCATCGGCATGTTCTTTTAATAAATAAGTTATTGACCTTCCTGTCAGCAAAACGTCACATATTATATAACAAACGAATTGTCGGAAACTATTAATAATCAAAATATTTAGTATAAAATTATGTTTTGTTCACACGTGGGACGCGCGAGTCCGAGCTGTATAAATGAATCGGAAAGTTCCTGAATATACCAGTTGTTATTGTATAGTGCGAGGTTTTTTAGTGAGAGATTTTGCAAAAGTAGGATAGTTTGTATCGTTGAATAAAAGCTAAAAGAAACTATTGTGTCGAGGATTATCTCGGGCATGACAATAAGAAATCCTCACTTCTAGATATCATATTACAACACAACATAACAGCCGACCATGCAATCTCAAAATATCCAGATTCTGTGGCTACTAATAATACATCAATTAAATAAATATTGCCGGATACAAATGTAAACAAACACAAAAGCGGTTTATACTTTATAGATTTAACTTTGGTTATATACAGTTAAGCAGCCAAACTGCGTTTAGGTACATATTATTACCAGCGTCAATAAGCACACTTTAAGCAGGTTTTAACGCTTACTTAATACCAGACTATGAACTGATATAAATATAATCTCCTAACCTTATCGCTGTACATTTCTTGTGTTGTTGATGAGCACCGAATTGAAATATCTTGCGAGACTGGTTCTGGTGATATAGTTGTGGATAGACTTGGTATGAATAGCGGCTAAAAGCTCTTCAATACATCGATCTTGTATTGAAATATTGATATGCTTTAAAAGATCTGTGTTCACCATTTCTAGACTGGACAGTCATGTATATGAAACTTATTGCGGGAACCACAGAGTATTTTTACACATACATTTTATATTGCGGTCGTATTCGTATGTCAATTTAATTTTCGCTGTGAATAAACTTTCCGAACGAGTCAGATGAGGCAAAAATATGAGCCAATGAGAAAACAGAATTTGGTCTTTTTCGACCAATCAGAACTTCAAATATTGCGCAAATAAGGCAGACCCCCACGAAGATGAGGCAAAAAAGTTGAACCAATCAGAGAGGAGACTTCCCCTTCAATCAGCCAATCAGATACCTCATAGATGACGTAAATAAGGCAGACCCCCACGAAGATGAGGCAAAACCATTCTCGACCAATCAAATGGCTAGAATCTGCCTCAAGTAAGGCAAGGCCACTGAGCTTTCAACCGCTGAATGCAACTTGTTAACTGGACTATTGCGAATATTAATTACATTTGCTGTCACTGCAGGAAGGATTAGAACTGGAGTCCTGGACAATTTTATGAATATTAATTATCTGTGCAATTCTTACGTTAGTCGTGTGACTTATTGACAACCTCTAGATCCGCCCCTGGGTAATTCCATGGTAGTGATGACATTTTTTGAAGAGAAAAAGTTCTTAATAATTTTAAAATAAAGCTTTATTTTGATAGTATACATATTCAGGGGTAATATGAAAGTAAATTTGACAAAATGTTGCAGCTAGATTACAGTTATATGCAATGTTCATATGTGTGTTACTTAAATGTTGCAATGACATCACTAATTAGGGTAAGTTAACTTCTAATCTTTGAAGGTAAGCTTAACATATTTTTACTACAAATCAGTGGCAAACAACCACCACAGTCATTAACTATTCCATTAAAAAAAACATATTCTCTAAATATTTTTCTATTGCATAGTATGGTTCTTTAAATTTGAGGTCATATGGCATGTAACGTGAGTCACAAAAACACCAATTTTTTAATTTTGCGAACAATACATTGGCGAGTTAACAGCTCTTGTTCATTATTTTCTTTCTTCTAGTGATAGCTTAACTATAAATATAAATTTTATGCATGTTAGCTTAATTGATGCTCTATGAGAGCATTCCAAATATTGGTAACATGAGTCACGTGTACATTGATTACACAATGTAACGTGAGTCACAAATTTAGAAAAGTAGACTTAGGCAGAAATGAAAAGTAAAAAGTGCTTACATGAAGTAGTTCCTAATCTAGTGATACTACTCAGTTTGTGGGCGCTTGTATTGTATCCATGTTGTTTTCTGGCGGCTTTAAATGGTGGAAAGGTGAAAAAAAAGAGAAGATTAATCCATTGCAATCCGACATAAATATTGCTCTTTCATGAGTTATTACTGTTGATTTTAAGGTTAGATATTTATACTGTTAAATTACATTGTTCGTTCTTAAGGCTGTGATAAATTATTTTGAAAATATATGGTTTAAAAGTTCGCTTCAATTTATGATTCGATTTGCTTTGTCATAGTTTTTGTACAAACAAAATGGCGCTTACTGCGGCTGAGAGGCAAAGGAGAAGACGTGAAAAATTGAAACAACAAGGAAAGTATGAGGAATACAAAAGTCATCATCGTGAAATCGCCCAGAAAAGCCGTGATAAAAAGAAAGATCTGTTGGAGAATTTATCTCAACAAAGGAGAGAAATCTTTCAAAGAGAGCAGAGAGAAGCTACCAGGAAACGTGTGGCCAAATGCAGGGCATTAAAAAAAGAAAAGGAAAAAGAAAGTGTTGTGATGCCACCAATCGTAAGTGCAGTCGCTTTCTTTAGAGCAACAGCTAGAGCTAAAAGAGCACTCAAGAATGCCCTACCGAAGTCCCCAAGAAGACGAAAAGCAGTCCACCGAAAACTATATGAAAGTGAATTAGATGGCAGTAGTATATCATCCTCAACCGACTCACCAAAAAGATCCAATGCTTTGAGCGATGAACTAGTTGAACTAGTAAAAACTTTCTACCAAAGAGATGACATTAGCCGACAGGCACCTGGTAGAAAAGATGTAATTAATGTCCAAGACAAGAATGGGCAAAAGGTTTCTTATCAAACTCGTCATCTCACCTCCTCGGTCATGGAGACTTATGCTCTTTTCTGCAAAGAGTATCCCAACAAAATTGGAAAAAGTAAATTTGCCGAACTTAGACCAAAACATGTTTTACTGAGTAGCAAACTACCCCACAATGTATGCTTGTGTAAATACCATGAGAACTTTATAAATGCTGTAAATATATTACATCAAGTCTCACCAAGTGTACCACTTTACACAAACGAGTTCCCACAATCATGCCTCTGCAACCCTGTGAAGAGAGAGTGCTGGATGAACCAATGTGAACAGTGCAAAGATGGTAAGGGTTTTCGTAATTCTTATCCACTAGAAGAAAATGGTGACGTCAAGTGGTATGTCTGGAAGACAGACAGTAGTAATAAACTTGTGAAAAATGTAGAGGAGGGCACCACCGAGGAGCTGTATACCCATATATGCTCAATTATCCCCCAGTTCATGGCACACTGCTTCACAAAAAGAATGCAGGCAGAAGCCTATAACAAAGAGCGAAAGGATGCAGAAGCAGATTCAGAATCGCTTTCGAATGCTGCTTTTCTTCAAGTGGACTTCTCTGAGAATTACACTTGTGTTTCCCAAGATGAAATTCAGAGTGCCCATTGGAAGCAAAGTCAAGTTAGTTTGTTTACTGCTGCGTTATGGTATTCTGGTATCCTACACCCCATTGTCATAGCATCGGACAATCTGAATCACTCCAAGGATACAATAGTGGCGTACATTGATTATCTGCTATCTATTCTACCATCCAACACCCAAAACATTTCCATCTGGTCCGATGGCCCATCGTCCCAGTTCAAGAACCGGTTTATAGTAGCTGCACTAAAGTCCCTCCAAGATAAGCACAAGATCCAGATTACATGGAACTATTTTGCAACTTCACATGGGAAGGGACCAGTCGATGGCATTGGTGGGGCAGTCAAGCGTCAGGTGTGGATGACTGTGAAGACGAGAAAACACATTGTCTGTGATGCTAAGAGCTTTGTCGTTGCAGCCGAAGATTCCTCCAATGTGAAGGTTGTTGAGATGGCTACATCAGAGATCGAGGAAAGAAACACATCTCTGAATACTAAAGAAGTGTTTGAAGATGCAAGCCCAATCCCAGGCATTGCTGCAATCCATTCGATCAAGATTGACAACGCGGGGAAGATTGTTGGGCGTGTCTTGGTGGAAGAAGAAACTGACATGCCTCGATGT